CATTCCAGGTGTATCGCCCTTGGCGATTCACACCAAGAGTGGGGTGTGCAACACATTTGTTGTTGAGATTTGATAACCCGCACGATTTCCAAGACTGTGCGCCGCTAATCTGAAAGAGACCAAGCATTGCAAGTGCATGCATGCATGCCTCATGAGCCTATAGCGCGGCGGCCCTCGCGCAAGAGCGGCTTGAATTGCTGCTTCACAGGTTGATTCGCACCGAGCCATTCAGTAAATAGTAAATGAATTCCTCATTTATCAAGCAACTGAAATCTTGCCTAGTGAAACGGCGAAACGGCATGTCGATCCCAGCGATGGCCAAGGCGCCATGGCTTGCGTTACTCGTGACGGCGAGTCTACCTGGGATCGTACAGGCCGCTGAATCGTGTGTCCGCATCCCGCAGAACTCGCTTGTGTTCTGCTCGATGGTGTGTTGGCCATCCCATCACCAACGGCCTCATCAGGTTGATCTGTAGGTGGACTACGCCGCCGTGTTGGACGCGTCGAAAGATCCGACGGGGGTCATCGCGGATAGTGAAGCCAAGGCACACTACGACAGTGTCGACCAGGTTGTACCGTCCACCCCGCAAAACGCGCGCGCTGAATGTCACGCAGATCCTTCTTCGATTCGGCTGCAGCACCACATACAGCATGTACACTTGCTCGGACTGCCGAGACGCGTACAAGTATTGGGTTTGTGCCGCCAAGTTCCAAAAGTGCGGCGGTCCCGGTCAAAACTTCACTGCGACGTGCCCCCACTTTGACCGCAGAAATCCCGTCAACACCACGTTCCCCAACTGCGAACAGACTCGGACAAGGGTACGATATAGAACAATGACCCACTGGATGTCGAGACCGAATGCGATGGCGGGGTAGATGTGTGTGTCGCTATGCGAAGATGTCATCCGAAAATGCCCCTATGTCCTGCAGTTCCAGTGCCCGGACACCGAGACCCCGTTTTTCTCCCGCAATCCAGCCACGTGCAATAAGCTGGTGCGAACAATGCCTACTGATATACCATCATACTCACGTGGCGCTTTTGGCAGGACCGCGTCTGGCATCCCGAAGCCCCGGACCTGCCTTGGCCTGGCTCGTTCAGTTGAAATACACTGCAGCATGTTGACTTGGATACATGCAAATTCCTCTGAGAAATCAATATATTGTTTCAAATGATGCTGATTTCTTTGAAAAAGCTTTAAATTGGTACACATTTTCCTGTGACAATTGGTATCCTGATAAAATTGTTTGTTGATCCTTTGGCCACAGTTTTGCATCCGAAAGTGCAATTTTGACATTCGGGGTGGTTTTCACGTCAATTGATGAAATTATCGCCCCATTTTCTGAAATATTTTACGATTTTTGTCGAAAATGCCCCACTTTACGACGTCAACGACGATCGCATCACTTGGCGGTAATGTCCATCGCTGGGAATCGCAACAACTCGACTGCGACCGCCACCATCACGGCGCTGCCGCTTCTGTCGTCTCTGCAGTCGCCTCCATCGTCGTGCGGATACAAGGATTCGAAGGGGACCAGCATACTCGTCACTGACCCGGCGATTTGCCTGGGATTAACGCCTTGCGAAGTGGCAACATCGACGTGCACGGTGCTGCGATCTTTTGCCGCTAATGTCACTGGGTTCACCAATATCACTGCTGTCGGCAACATGGGCAACTACAAGAACTCGTACCTGTACGACCGACCACGTCCTTTCTCTCGTTACCACACGAGCCCTCGTAGCGCCATCACGAATGCTCCGTCCCTTGACCTTCGTGCATTTCACGTTTCCGACGCCGTCGAATACCTGTACGTACGCAGTGCATTCGATTCTATATAACGCTCTATTAGGAACATTGAGAATATTGCGACGTTGGACTTGACGCAACTCCCGACACCCTTGCCGTCGACCATGACGACTCTGTAAGGACTTCCTCCGCCCCATCAAGTCTTCGCTGATCTTCCGGCCAGCCGCATGGTCAACTGCAACCTGAAGGAAATCCCTTCCGCATTTCAATGGCCCAACAAGCTCAACCGTGTGTACGAACGTTGCAACTTTCCATGCTTTGACTAATGTATTCATGGCAGAGGTCTCGACTCGAACCGGTTGACAACACTGCCATCTTCCCTGCCCGAGAACCTCCAGCTTGTGTAAGCTGTCCATTGAGATGAACGGTATTCGTGCCATTCATTCCCCGTCTCTCTTGTGTATGCTGCGCAGAGCTCTGCGGCACAACCAACTGACCAACTTGACGTGGCTGCCGGCTGGCCTTGGTGGCATGTAAGTCTTCGCATCCTCCTGCGCCGTGAACCTGATGACAAGATGCTAGCAATGTTTTAAATAACTCGATCCAGACCTTGTCAGGCGTCGACTGGCGGGACGTGACTTATGTGTAAAGCGACGATGTGTTATCTCGACATTTGAATTCCCTTGGTCGTAATGCGGGTGTAGGGAGTTGGGGCTCAATCCTCTCACGACGTTTGCTCACGTTCGGTTGTCGGCGGCTCGCCTGACCTACTTGTCCGTGCTCCCTCGACTCGATCGCATTCTTCACATGTTACTAGTGGCCTGTCGAACTGCCCCCTTACAAACTTGACCGTCGACGCTAGCTCGTTTCGAGCGCTCCGAAACCTGCCGCCATTTTATATCAATAGCCTCTCCAAAGCCACTGGCTACCGCATCGTCAACACGTCCCTCGCCACGAACGTGACTGCGTGCCAGAGCCTGAACGGCACCGTTGAGTTTCCGTGGCCGGATGCAGCCAACTTTTCCGTGTGTGTGGTGCTCAATGCGCCATTGTATCAACGCCTACCATGGGCTTGTACGTGCATTTTACCCCATTCAGACGTGTGCAGAATACGTTGTCATGATCGCCGTAGTGAGCAGCCTGCTGTGGATTGGGGCGGTCATGGCGGGGTTGCTGGTGCTGGTCCTGGTGTGGGTCACGCAAAGGACTTCTCAAAGCCGCCGTCGCAAGTGGGGCTACATTCCCCTGAAAAACGGCGCCAAGAATCCATTCAACGCTGTCAAGATCACTGTGGCACTCCACCCACCCGTTGTCATGTCCAAGTTGGAGGCACTGCGACCATTCAAACTCAAACCCTCCGACGTCGTCACCACATCCAAGTACCCCATTGCCCATGGTGTTTTCGGCGAAATCTGGGGCGGGTTGTACAAGGACACGAAAGTGGCCATCAAGCGAGTCAAGCAACCGCTGCCGATGGCCCGCCCCAACGATACGCCGCTTCCCCCCGGCCCTTCCTCCGTTGACAAGTTCATCGACGAAGTGCATCTCGTTTCCCAGCTCAAGCACGACCACATTGTGACGTTCGTTGGAGCCAACTGGACGTCAAACGCTTCGGACTTGGAAATCGTGATGGAGTACATGGACACGGGTGACCTACGTGCGTTCCTGGCCACCCATTCTTCAGCCACGTACTCGTGGACAGAAAAGGCGCAGGTCATGCGAGGGATTTTGGCTGGGTTGTGCTATCTCCACTCGCTGCCACTCGTCCACGGCGACTTAAAGTCCAAGAACGTCCTCCTTGACAGCCGCAAAGGAACCAAGTTGACCGATTTTGGTGAAAAACCGACTAACTTTGCTGCGCCTTCCGTCATGTTCCAGTGGACCGCCCCCGAAGTCCTCGCGGGTCGACCATTTGACGTTGCCGCCGATGTGTATTCCTTTGGTATGTGGCTTGGTATTTCCAATCTGTTGGCATTCACGAGATATGGATTTCGATTGCACCGACTCACTCGACGCTTTGTAGGCGTGATTCTGTCGGAATTGAGCACCCACATGCTCCCGTACGCTGACAAGAAACTCCACGGACGGAAGACGCAGAGTCCTCAAGTCCTCATGAGCCAAATCGTGGCGGGAACTCTCCAGCCAACCTTTCTAGTCGACGCGATGATCTTTCCGTCGTGGGTGTACGACATGGCAATGCGATGTCTGGCTTTAGACCCGATTCAACGTCCCACCGCAGCGGACCTCGTAGCCTACGTCATGTCACACCTATGATCGATCGTGGTGAAGGAGTGTCGCTACCGGACCGAGTGCAGTTGAATGAAATCGATTGCATGCACACGTGGCTTCACCATCGTCGACAGCAATACCACAAGCCGCGGATCACGTCCGCCTTGACGGTCGACCAGACCAGATCGAACAGGCCACACAGAACAGGCCAAACGGGATGATCCGATGGCTGCTATGGCCCAAACATGTACAGTCTTCAATAGTCGTTTGGACCGGCGCCGATAGGTTTCTGTCAGCGACAAGACCTTCCTGACCGCACATCGAACGACTGGTGGTCCAAGTACAAGAGTCAAAATTGGATTGCCGAGCTCTAGTCAAACTGGGCAAAGTGTGCGTTTCCTTGGAATGCTTGATACAGCGTGAAGAGAACGTGCAGGCTATCGCGAACGTGGCCATCGTAGACCGGAATATCCAACAGCCCACACACTAGTCGAGTGTACTCGGCCAGCGAGACGTTGAGGGCGGCCGGTGGCAGCGGCATCTGCCCATGCAGTTGAATGAGGATTGAACAATGTGATCTTACCTGCGCTAGAGCCGCTTCAAATTCTGCTGGCCACAAATCCAGCAACACGTCCAAGGATGGAAACGATTTTGTGTAATGCACCTGCAGGGCCACGTATCTAAGGCTATGATACCGTCATCGATTGCGCAGCGCACCTGGCACAATGGCTGGGCCTGCTGTATTTTCGCGACGCTCGCGATCCATTCATCGATGGCGTGCGGTCGCTCGTGCGCGTTCTCGATGGTCAGGACTGGAAGCTCCCATTTCGCGTGGGCTGGTTTGTAGTCGGACTTTAGCATCAATTGGAGCTCTATCCAGAGCAAAAGTCCACTTTTGAGCCATGGGGATTTCGTGGCTGAAAGACTCGATCGAACCTGCAACATTTGACTGGGTGGCTCCCGGTTCAGCCAGCACGACGACGCCGATCGGGTCCTCTTGCCCGTCTGGCCGCAGTACCTATAAACAACACCCTCCTACATCTGTAAGGTCATACAACCACAGAGCGTACGTGAATGCCTTCAAAGGGGGCGCCGATGGCTGGAATGTACTCTGGGATGAATGGCTGGACAATTGTAGGAATGTCGATTGTTTCGGGGCGGAAGTCTTCGATGTACTGCAGAGCCACGTGGTCATATCCAGTGCAGATATCAAGCTTAGTACCTTGAGGAGATGTAGGATGTCGGGTGGTAAGCTCATGCTTGGCAAAGACGACGATACTGGCGCAGTTGCAGTATGTGCTTCAGGGAATATTGTGGGCTGCGGAGACCGCATGGAGGTTTGTCCTGTGTCAGAGGCGGCGGGGGCTTTAGAATCGTTTGAAAAAACTGCTTTGGGGGTTGTAGTGACCAAGCCTGCGGAAGATGGAGACTTGTATAGGTCGGCCACCTCCTTGTACATGGTATCAGTGCTGTCGATTGCGACGGTCGTGGCCTTTAATGCGGGTTCTGGCTTGCTTGTCTCCTTGGGCTGTGCACGCAATGCCGTGTCGTCGTTCGTTCGTGCAAGTTGTGTTGTTACTGGAGCAGAGGGAATTGTTGGCGGGGAATTTGCTTTGGTCAGAGTGGGGCTGGAACGTAATTGGTCCTTCAGGTGATCCTTTCGACTCTTCTTGTTAGTCTCATATTCATCTTCGGATGATGAGGATGCGTCAAGCATGTCGTCGTCCATCTTGGCCGCGTTCATTGCGTCGTTTGAAGCCGCAAAAGAATTATGTGTTGTGTTCTGGACCAGCCATCGTCAGGACATGTGCAAAACAGTTTTCGAGGTTGTTGACGCACCAAAGATGCCTTGATAGGGCTCCCTGGGATCTCCGGTGGTTCATCGTCGTCATTATCGCTGTCGCTACCGTAGCTGCCCCCCCGCCTTGATATTGTGGCGTTGAGAACGCTTACAGGCGCGTCCTTTCTTCGATATGGCACGACGTCTGCTTCGTCATCGTTGTCTTTTTGACCATTGCCTACACCATGGAAAGTCAGCTCTGGTCGCTCCTTCGATCTTTACCCATAGATGCTTTGGAGGGAGACGCAACAGTGTCCACGCTGTCTTCTAAGTCATCGACCATGTCATATACTTCGTCCATGCTCTATGTGCCGTCGTATCCGTCAAGTGTGAGGAATACAGTGAAGCCTCTGTACCTGGTCATCCAACTCTGCTCGTCCATTCTACACAACCCCATCCATCCAGCATGATATTTTTCGTTGGTGCATTCCGCAGATCACTGTCTCTCTCGACTCACCTCTTCGTCAGGTTCGCTCATCGGTCCGTCGCCGCCGCGCCGCCGCCGATTGCGAGGATTTGGAGATTGTGGTTGGTTATCCGAAACATTATCCGGATAGATCGCGACCTTTCAAGCAGTGACCAGTTGGTAGGAAGCACCCAGGCAACTCAGCACGCGTGAGGGATGCTCCACAGCCCAAGACGCTCTGAAGCATCAACAACTCGCTCGTGCAATGTTTGAGGTCGTGCTTTTCGTTGCTAGGAGGGCTCCGCACGAAGAAGTGAGTCCCTTTTTCTACTGCACAACCTGTTACAGAATCTGTCAACCCATGTCATTTCCTAACGTGGTGAACCAAGGACACGTCCAACATGCAAAAACATCCCTAGGACCGCCTTCGAATAGCTTGCATCCGCATCCAGGTTGGCCTGACTTATCGCAAGTTGCCAACACAAGTACTTCCTTCTGTCCCCCATCAAATACAGATCGGGCAGTCCATCGAGCATTGCTTTCGTCAGTGGCTCCACCAGCAACACAAGAAATGAAAGAATGCTGGACTAAATTACGCGAATGAGATATTCACCGAGAGGTTGTTCACGGTGTTGGCTGCCGACTCTTGAATGAATTGGTTGATGTAAGCTGCGCACACCTGCGGGTATGAGTGCTGCACGATGTGGCCGCACTGTGGAATCACAACCTTCTCTGCATTTAGTTTTTCCATCCGCTCAAGACACGACACGTCCAGGATTTGGTCGTTTTCTCCCCAAAGAACTACCGTCTTGGCTTGAATTCGATGCAAATTTTGCTCCAGCGCTGTTTGGTCCTCCATCATATCTTTCAGAATCTTTTCAATCACAGGCATTCGTTCCGCCTACGCCACATCATCCATCTTTATGTGGAAACGATTGACCAGTTGGGTCTGCGTACCCGGTAGTTGGCGAAGATGCTCATCACGATCCGGCGCATTCCCGTCGGAGCTTCCACAACCGCGCCCGGCGGGCGGTACGCAATGTACTGAAACATGTCCATGATTTCGTCGACGGTCCCTGCTCGCATCACGTTCTTGCCTTCGTCCTCGTACAGCTTGAGGACGGGACTCTTCCGTGGCATCGACACGCCTGCCACAGGAACCTCCTGGTCAGAGTCCAGAACGACTAGAGACGCTATGCCTTACCTGCGGGACATATCAATGTCAAGCTGTGGAGCTGGTCGGGGTACGTGGCGGCAAACACCCCGGAGATGAGCCCGCCCATGGAGCAGCCGACGAGGTGGACAGGGGTGTTGGGGCCGACTGTGGCGTCCAAGAACGATTTCAAGTTGCGAACTTGCTCGGCCGCTCGATAATTCCCTGTCGCGAGCATGGGCGACGTCATGCCATGGCCAGGCAGGTCTGGAATGAGCACGCGTGTAGAGGGCGAGACGTATTTCGCGACGTTCAACCACGAATCTTTCTCCGACGAGAACCCATGGACAAATACGACGACAGGCTTGGTGGTGGAGTCACCTTCGTTAGGCGCTTCATTCTTCTCGAGGTACGACCAGCGAAATCCCCCGGCAGCTACGACCGAATCAACGTACCCGAGTCGCCGACGCGATCCGTTTAACCTACAACCACCAAGCGTCAGCAAGCGGTGGAAGACGGCCGCTGTACATGAAGGTCTCGACGGCGCTGCGCAGGATTCGGTTCGTGATGGATTGCATGGTCCACGTAAAGTCCATGGACGAGAGGATGGAATTGGAAATGGCCGTGTCATGCCGTCGCCATCGCTCTCCGTCATGAGTATTTTACATTCACGCGTAATCCTGACCTGAAACACCGGGCATATGTGGGATAAATGGAATAATGCCGGTAAATATGTAAATCGAGGGTATTTGACTCCTTTAGAAGATCAACGTTCTAAAGGCTTGGACCTACACTCCACAGTTGTCCGACCGCTACCGAAAGGTAGTATGCTGCGGAGAGTTCGACGGCACACCCTGGTGAATTCGACGCGTCTTCAAGGGGATATACATGCTAACCTGCTGCTGCCGTCAGTGATTTGAGCCCCGTCCTTTTGAAAGGATCGACTGCGCGCGATCAATCCATCTTACAACCATGCAATACTACTGGTGTGCAGCATAGAGAAGTGGACAGTGATTCATGCAAGTTCCCCATTTCGCGTTTGGAGGACGCGGGGCAGAGTTCACGTCGGCCTTTGCGAGAGTATTGTCGGTCCATTCTAGCGTAGCATGTTGAGACTGAACTCCTCAAGGCCGACAATAAAAGCTTTTGTTCCGACCCGACAGAGTTCTTCCCTGTTCATTGTCCGAATTTTGAGAATGGTGGTAGGGTGATTGAGAACGTTGGTCATTCATCTCCGGCGGTTGGGTATACACCGGGTGGATAGAACTCAAACACCCGACTATGCTACCCGAAAGGTCGCCGCCATTTTCCCATTTGCTCATCTCCATGGAGTTCACGTGGACATTCCAATCGATCACAAACCGCATCCTGCGCAGCTTGGTGGAAACGTTTATGTAAGCAGCGAACTTGTCTTGGCGACGAGCTCATCACGCGCTTGTAGACTCAACAAGATGCGCAAGTCCCTCGGGTTTGTCAAGTCTGACGTGGACGCTGGCGGATTTCGTTGGTCGTACCTCGAGAAGAACGACGCGACGGACCAAGACAATGCAACATCCAAACCTGTCGTCGTGTTTGTCCATGGGTTCTCGTCGGAGAAAGATTCATGGATGAACGTCGCGAAATACGTCCCGCCCTCTGCACGCGTGCTCATTCCAGACCTGCCTGGCCATGGCATGACGTCGCCCATGCTCGCGACAGGGAATTATCGAGCGGCCGAGCAAGTTCGCAACTTGAAATCGTTCTTGGACGCCACAGTCGGCCCCAACATCCACCTCGTCGGCTGCTCCATGGGCGGGCTCATCTCCGGGGTGTTTGCCGCCACGTACCCCGACCAGCTCCACAGCTTGACATTGATATGTCCCGCAGGTAAGGCATAGCGTCTCTAGTCGTTCTGGACTCTGACCAGGAGGTTCCTGTGGCAGGCGTGTCGATGCCACGGAAGAGTCCCGTCCTCAAGCTGTACGAGGACGAAGGCAAGAACGTGATGCGAGCAGGGACCGTCGACGGAATCATGCAGTTAGGACAATATGTCTCGCACCATCCGCCGAATCTCGATCTCGTGCCTCCAAAGGGGGTCGAACGGATGGTCCTGGGAGCCCTCGCCAACTACCGGGTGAGTTGTCCGACCTGCCAGCGCCGCTTTGTCACGTCGTCTGTAGGCGGAGCGGATGCCAGTCATCGACAAAATCTTGCAAGATTTGATGGAGGACAAGACAGCGCTGGAGCAAAACTTGCATCGAATTCAAGCCAAGACGGTAGTTCTTTGGGGTGAAAACGACCAGATCCTGGACGTGTCATGTCTCGACCGGATGGAAGCACTCCAGGGGGAAAAGGTCGTGATCCCGGAGTGCGGCCACCTCGTCCAGCATGCTGTTCCGCAACTGTGCGCCGATCACATCATTCGATTCATGGCAGAGTCGCATCCATCGGCCGTATCCAGGGTAACTCCGTAACATTTCGCACACGTGTGCAGTGCTAAACTGTCATTTGTTCGTACTGTTCGAAGCTTCACGAGATGGCCATGCATGGGTCTCAAGACCGGTCCCGCGTCGAGTGCATCCAATTCGATTTCCAACAAATTCACATCGAATCAATTCAACAAATTGACAACTAGCGCCACGATACCCCCGGTGACACCCTATGTTACGACATGGCGAACGTATTTCCCGGTGGACCCTTCGCCGCTCCAGAGGACAAATCCGTCTGTCGGGACAGCATCGTGGCTGCGCGGGGTGTGAGTTGTGAAGCTCATGCTGTCAAGGATGGGGTCTTCGCGCACAAGGTGGCGTCGAAATGGCACTTGTACCAAGATCTTGTCGCACGCGCTGAACTGGTACCCATAGAAGAACCGATCGCAGGAATTCGTCCGAACAAATAGCATCAAGCCGAGGGCCGTCGCAGTCAGAATGAGCATCCAGTGTAGCTGCGCCTCGTACAATGCCATGGTCAACGTCGCCCCGTCAAGCTGGCGCCACGAGATGGCCGCCCCCAGCGACCAACTCGTCCAGATCAGCCCATACATGGAGCCCGAGTTGTACACACCAAACATGTCCGTGATGAAGCATGGCATGAGGGCAAGGCCACCCCCCGACGAGAACGTGAGAGCGTTGGACAGCCATTGGCGAGTGGTGGCGTTGTGGCTGTGGTGGGGCAGGATGAAGAGGGCCACGCATTCGATGGCCAGCAGCGCGACGAACACGACTTTGCGAGCGAACGCTGGGTTGGCATAGCACACTCGAATCAACAAGTCGGAGATGACCGGGGCGCAGAGTCGTCCCGACAGATTAGCCACTAGAGCAAGCATCCCTCTGATGAGGTCAAGTCGGAAGGGGGACAACATAGACGTACGATACGTGTACGTCATAAAGGTCAGGTTGTCGATTTTAAGGAGCCCTTGCATGCTTTGGGCTTGAGGAATGAAGATCACGATGGGCATAATGCACGCGGCAAACGCGATATACATGCACACGAAATCGGTCGAGAAAATACACTGCATCAAACTGAGCGCCTTGACTTGTTGAAAGTAGTGACCGTCCGTGCCGTCGAGCTCGCTTTGCACGGCGGAATAGTTGACAAACGTCATGCCTATGGTACCGTCAGGGGTACAGCAAGCTGATGTGACGATGGGCCGCACCAATTTTGAGGTATTCGTCTTGCACAAGGTCAGGGGAAGGAGCCCGGCTGACAGGAACACAGTGCGTGTCTTGCCCGCGGACGGTAAACGTCGCAGGGGGAGTTCGAATAATCAGAGTGCACAAAATCAAGACAACGACAGTCGCGACGCCTGTGAAGGAAGAGCGTTGAGATACTGGGGGAGAAGAGTAAGGAGCAGCCTGACCTGTCTCCCAAAAGAGCCTCGGCACGGCGTTGTGCGCAACAAAGGTGCTGAATGCCTTGATAAAGACTGCGTTTCCGATGCCAAAAAAGATGACAGCGAGACCTGTCACGGACCCGCGCAGGTCGGGAAACCACTTTTGAACGGTCGAAATCGACGTGATCAGCAGCAAACCAAACCCAATGCCGACACATACACCATACGCCACCATGAGCCACTTCAGGTCTTTTCGCATCACGCCAGCTTGAGCAAATATGTGCCCCAACGCAACCATGACTGTACCGATGGTCATGCCGATCCGAGGACCATTACGCTCGAGGAATGGCCCAGAAAGTGCCGCGGTCGCCCCCAAGCATACGTACGCCAACAGGAGTGCTTGCATGCATTGCTTGGTTTTGGTGCCAGAAAAGAACATGTCCAAGTCGTCGGCGACCAGCGTGAACGAGTAGATCGACCCAGCGCAAAACTGGACGAGGCAGCACGCCAAGCAGAGCCACGCCCGGTGAAACCGAATGCAGTCGAACCGGGCAAAGAAGTTGCTTCCCATCGGTAACACAAAGAGCCACTTCTCAGCCATGGCTTCTGCAGGCGACTTCTTCGGGACGGCAACCGTCCAGTAGCTGCACAGACCCATCCTTACCACGATAGTCAATCGAAAGTGAGCGAGAAGATGCCCCAACAGGCGCGCCCTTGTTAGAAGTTTCGAAACCGCGATGCTTGCACCGAACGTTGTACTAGATATGGTCACCGATCCGTTGCATTTCCTTACGCAGCGCCAAAAACAACGAAGTGTGGGGGCGGGTGCACGAGGCATTTTCGTGGCACCACTCACAGCCAATTTATTTGGGGGGGGCTTTGGTCTGCCCTATACTTGTTCAAGTTTTCAGCGGGAACCATGGCGTGTCTTGATCGAAAAGGAATGCTTTCCTTTCAAACAAAAGGTAAATGTTGGTGAGGTGACCCCGAAGAAGAAGTACAACCCAAGGGGCTTGGACGACGTGAATGCTCTTCGTCACTGGCAAACGCGAAAGCCTTGTGCTCGTTAGCCACAAACGACAACAACGACCGACGTAAACCTACGAAACAGACCGGAACAGAGACGTGGACTTGTCCGCAGAATGTCGAGTGATGTGTCAGTGTGGCGGGTGATTGCTCTTGCAATATTCACCGAGTTTTGTCTGGCTTTGCAGACACAATCGCACGACAGGGCTCGCTGAGGGGACTTACATGGCAGTGCATTGGCATGCAAAAAGGACGCGTTTTCTCCCAGATTTGCATGAAGCTTACTGCTGGTTCTTGGGTTGGCATTCGAAAGCGCGAGATTCGACGACAGCTCAGCCAATTCTGCAGCCTTGCAATCTCACCAGTTCGTTCCGAGCGCGAGAATTGATCGAAAGCCAACTCGTCAAGAGGAGGCGTTCAACCAGTCAATCTGTCCCGTGGCGCGACCGATCCGTGGTGGACTTGGTGTTATGGGTTTCCAGGCTTCGTGTATGTTATGCCTCAACCCCCACCTCCTGCCCGAACAAGCGGAATGATCAACAGAGGGAGGTCGAGAAAACGTCGAATGGGCAAACTCAATTGACAACACTTACTTCTGGCTGCTCTAGTTGACTAGAGTTTGCATCGGAGGTGGCATGTTTCCCTGGGAATTCTGTACTCTAGCAGGCACGCCATCGGGACAAGACGCACCGCACCATAAGATGTGTTGTCACCGCTTCGTGTACGGGCTGGTATACTCGGCGTAAATTGCAAGCTTGTCTGCCTTGCGTGATCGCGCCCATGTTTCAAAGGCCCCCATCGCAGCAGCTTTCGATGAACCAAGTCGCGCGCCCGTCAAACGGACTCTATCGCCAAACAGCGCCTTCATCGCATTCCATTTCACATTCAGAGTATCGATCATGTCGTCTGAGTCGAGATAAATATTGACGCCCACAACGTCGCAATACGTAGCCATGACGATTCCAGTCGCAGTAACCCACTGGGCATCCGTTTGAGCGATCCCAACAGGTACTTGGATCGTGGTGCTATCCTTTGGATGCCGATCTTTCCAAGTCATCACGGCCTTCGTCACACTCTCCCGTGTAGTCACTATTGCTTGCCGAACTGTTTCGGACGACATACGTGCCATGTCATCGTTGCCGATGAGCACGGCCGAGCACGTCGAGGGATGGCTTGAAATAGCCTGCGCAAGCAAATCCAACTGCCGTTGCATATCGCCGATGGCATCGCTCCACGCGACGCCGCACACCATGTTGAGGTCCACTGCACGACCTATCGCGAGGAGGTTGACTGCGTTGAGGTCTGGCCGAAGGACGCGTGCAGTTGCAAACTTGGTCGTGATGAAGTCCAACTCGAGTTGAACTGAGAGCGGGGTGGCCTGTGCAGCGGACATATTGAAAAGGACGCCGTAAGGTGCTCGACTGGCGGCTGGATCGATCAGTCGCCACAATGCCGCGATGACAAATCCAAGCGCGGCGATCATGAACGTGATGAATGCAGCGTACCAAACCACGGTGATGCCGGCATAAAGGCACAGCGAGAACGTTGATCGAGGCATATTGGTTAATGTAAGCCATTATTTGCATCCTCACACGTGGAGGACATGTGTAGAAAGCATGGGAGCTTACGACGTACGGTGATCATAGGCAGGCGTCCTGGGTGGCTTCTGGCGATCCTCTGAGCGTTCCATGGAGAGAGGGGGCCTGCATTTTACAACCGTGTCCATGAGCTCGCGCGACTGACTTTGGCGCAATTCAACATGCTGCAAATGGGGCGTGCATCGAGTTGAAGCATCACGGTGCAAAAGCCAAGCGATGATATTGAATCTCCTATTGGCTGCTGCTGCCAAGTAGACTGTTGGATCCAACCCACATCACACTGGACACGATGCAGCCCATCCACACCGCTTCACCGGTCGATTTGGGGGTTACAACCATCTTGTTAAACAATCCAAACGAAATTGCGTCGACGGACCTAACGAGGATGCCAGGCGCCCGTCCTCCACACGATTCTACTCGATCGAGAGCGGCAAAGCTCGTCGACTCACCTTCGTGGTGGTCTCTGCCGTGGCGGATATCACCGAAAGTACTCGTTTCTGCCAGCGGGCAATGGAGTCAGCGCTGGGAATTCCAACTCCACTAGTCGCATTCGATATCACGCCCCCTTTGGAACCTTGCCCGTCGAAACCGATGGGGGAGAGCATATGCAATTTCGAACGGGAACTGGTGCAGGATGCGCATCGATACTGTGTCCAACATGCGATGTTCGATTACACATCCAACCGGCGCATCGACCTGAATTCGATTGATTTCGTTGCGCAGAGCTGGTGAAATGGTGGCTGCTGCTCCTTCACGGGGCACTCTGATCATGATGCCGTCAACCTGCTCCATCCAGAAGCGGTCGTTTCGCTCATCCTGCCCACGTTGTGGAGCTTCACAACTCGATCGTATGCTTGGAGCCAACATGAATATCTACGCTCCAACCGTTCCAACTTCAGCTGTGCATAGCGGCCTTGTGTACAAACGAGGTAGCCAGATCAGTTGGTTCGGTCACCCCGTGTCGTGGTCCCTGCGCCGAGCGGTGTTGACGTCCAACTGCCAGCTCTGCTACTACGCCCCGCGAGGTCGCCCTGTTTTGAATGACCAGGTCGATCTGTCGCACTGCAGTCTTCGCGATTTTCAGATCCTTCGACCAGACTGCGGAAAACGAGGGGGCTCGTCCAAAGTCAGCATCTGGCGCCTTGCCATACAAACACCAAACCAGCGCTTCGTGTTGGCCGCTCGTTCGGAACAAGACTTGAATGCGTGGCTGTGGGCATTCGAGACGTTGGTCATGCCAAAGCCCAGCTGTACCAACCATCAAGATTGCAGACACTCCTTCCTCCGTGAGTCCTATGCGCGGTCATCCCAACGTGACTCGTTCCGCATGTATCATATCTCCAGCCGAAAGAAGGTCCACACAGCGCGGCAGCCTGCTGAATGACAAGTTGGCAGGTTCGCCAGGCCACACTTACCGAGTAGAATCAACTGTGTATTGAAATTCATTCTTCAGCACGATGCGAACTATGCCATGTTGGGTGGGCTCGACCTGCGATGAGCCTGAGGTGCCGCAGTGCCCGGCACAAGACAGTGTCCGCATATTTGGTCTGGTGGAGCAATTCGTGACGAGCTCCATCAAACGCAGCTGATGTGGTTGCCGATTACGGCAGAACTCGATAGACTAGGATCAGCCTCCAATGCAAACCTCATGCACTTTGACCAAACACACCGCTGGCTCGCCCGAGATGAACTTTGGTGTGAAACGTAAAAGAGATCGCGGTGACTGGTGACCAAGGATTTCCATGGTTACCAGCCACGAAACGGAGGAGCATGGTCGGCGTTGGGACCCCCAAGAGAATTCGCTCGGGAATTCACGACTGATTGAAGCCACACTGCTTTGCGTCTCGTACGATACCGAAGTCTCGACCGAATTGCGCTGAACCAAAATGAAGGCCCAAGGCAAAGCCAGATTGGCAAAAAGGGTACAGCTGGTAGCAGCACCAGCCTCAGCAGAGGTCTCTTGGCTCAAAGGGATTGCGTCGCCGGGTGCTTTGATCGTTTTCGTCAAGACCAAGCGGTCAGTGACAGACAAGGTGCACGTCAAGATCGACATGAGTGACACGTTTGCAGAAGAGTCGCGCGACGGACAGGTGGAAATGCAGTTGCCTGCCCTACAGCCTTCCGAAAACATGGACGTTGTCGAGTTTCGTCTGCGCTACGTGAACGTTCTGCAGTCGATGATTGAGAAGGCGAGCTCTATCGTGACGATCGGTCGCCCATCGGCCACGACCTACGGCAACGATACGATCGTTGATGCCATCGTGACACAGACAAAAGTTGCGCATCACTGCCGTCGAAGCGATCGAGTCGGCCCAAGCTCAAGCGACTTTAAGGAACTTGGACGAGAGCAAACGGTTTTTGCTGTCTGCGATCAACGTGATGTACCGTGGCATGGCCAACTTGCGTCTTGACGCCAAAGAGACCACTTCGATATTGCTGGCCGACTTGGAAGAGTGTATGACCAATTTGTCGAGCAAGGCGGTGTCCCGAGGCCACGGTCGCATGGCACAGATGCTCCAAATGCACTGGATGCAGAGCCCGAACTATATCACAGTTGACGAAGCGGAACTCAGCGTCGGTGAGTGCGCCGTGTGTGGAGGCAATCACTTGGGTGCCCCACAACAGCAAGCTGCTTCAGCCCCTGGCGGCTACATGCGCATCGGAAACTCCATGCAAATGCAAATGATGCAGAAGGCGTTCAAAGTCACCAAGGAATAGTTATGCCTCTTTACCCAGAGTACTTCAGGTCATGCGGACCTTCACCCATCCGTGGCGTCAGTTCAACAACCAGGTCGATCGGCGTCACCTCTGCGTGTTGCCGTGATGTGGAGGGCGCTTCCTACATCGCTCGATCCTTCACATGTCGAATTCTTGTTCAGAGCCACGATGTGCGCCGACCTCGATCACTCCATCCCAGAAACTAGACATTCGAACGTACTAGCCAACTGTAGTCATGTGCATTTTTTCATCGATAACACTCAATTTTGTCCAAAAAGATTGGCAAAATTGGACTGTTAATGACGTTTTGAGCCTCAACATGGCATATCGCCAACCTGCGAGTTTCGTTAGAGAGAGTATTTCACTTCGAGCTTGGAAATTAGGTCCGGCATGTATCAATACATGCCACTTGGCTCAAGGCCCATGCAGGCATGCAAAGAATGTGGCTTCACAGCTGCAATGCTATTGTAGCACTTCGCATGCCACACACTCGCACGAAAGTGATGACAGCATAGGCGGGAATATGTTTTGATCGTACTCGAGAGGGGTGTCAAGGCGGCAGAGTGGTTGAGACAGAATACCTCTAGTACATGGTGCGCAAGGCACCTCCGCCCTTGTGAAACGTGCTGTCCAGGGGCACATCTCGTGGATTGTGAGATCCGCTACGAGTATGTCAGTCGGGTCTTGTGCTCAAAAGTGGTGGTTTCGGATGAAACCGAAACCGAGTTTTCGTGGTGATTGGCTGGGAAATTCAGTGGCCCCGCGGCATCCGACCCCTCGTATTGGCTGCTAGTGTTGAATATGCCCCCTTTGCCAGCCCCCTTTGCCAGCGCTTTTAACACGGCCATTCCCACGTCGCACCAAAGTTTCGCACTCATCAACTCGTCCGCGTACAACCTGAGCACCTTCCCCATCGCAACCTTCCCAGCTTTGCGTACGGGCAGGTGACTCGTGTCACGGCGTCCCACGTTCACGTGCAAGTTCGCGAGAACAACCTCCTGACTTCTTCGTTCCGCGAGTCGATCGCTGTGGACAACTGCACTCTACCGGTCGTATCTATCGATGAGGTTGAGTCGGGCATCGGTCTTTGGATGCGCCGCTTCGCGTTCGGTGACCGCGACGGTAGTTGGTTCCACGGCCAGGTCACCGGCTTCGATGTTTCCGCTCAACTCGTAACCATCACTACTGCCTCCTCCTCCTTTGACGTTGAACTTTCACTGCTACACCCAACCTTTCCGATTTGTGCCATACTCCTTGGTTTCCATGCCATCCCGTGCGGCGGTGGCGACTCGGCTGGTACAATGGA